GATGATGAAACCAAGCAGTCCACAACATAATCAAATTCTTTCCAGAATATCCCTACATTTCCGACACATACCCAAAGGAGCCATCGACTAATTTAAAATCTTTGCTTCCATTGCTTTTCAAAATATCGTGCTAACGGACGGACGGGCAGACACCGCAAAATTATAAACTCGCTAGGAGCTCGTTAATAATCGATCGATCAATTTAAATATATACATTGGTAGGGAGTGGGCCTTTTGTTCCCATTTCCCGGTGGGCCTTTTGGGGTCCAGTCCGGCACTGTTTAGAGCCTCACAAACTGAAATCCAATCTACAAAATCGCATCAACACATTTTTTCGTGTTGTCAGTTAAACCGATCGTAACCTGCATTCTCAATTCTATTTCCAGAATTTTATTTTGTGGTTGCTACGGCTGATTAACTCTGAAAATTTTTTTGAAATTTTTGAAAGATCTTTTAAAATAACTGAGATATCACCGAAAAACTGAAAATGTCATATTTTGTTTTCATTTTCCCTAGCTTAAACGGTCAGAAGCGGACTGTTCCGGTTAGCACCTTCTATAGGCAATTTTTTTGAATAATCTGAATCTGTTAGAATTTCCATAGCACGCTAGATGTAGAAGGTACAGACTACTACTTTCTTATTTCTTATGGGCGCCATATTGGATCTTTGCTCAATGAGATAGCGGACAAAAAACAATGGGTACCTAGATCTTGCTGAATCAACATGGCTATGATGGCAATGCATTCAAATGAGTTTCTTTTTTGTCCTCTATCTCATTCCGTAAAAATTCAATATGGCGCCCATAAGAAAAATGTAAGTAGTAGCATGTATCTTCTACATCTAGCGTGCTATGGAAATTCTGAGAACAGATTCAGATTCTCAAAAAAAAGGTGTCCATAAACGGAGCTAACGAGAACCGTCTATTTCCAACCGTTTATGGAAAATGAAAACGAACTTTGACATTTTCAGTTTTTCGGTGATATCTCAGTTATTTTCAAAGATGTTTCAAAAATTTTAAATGCGTTTTTTTAGGCACAAAAATGGGCAACTTTGTCCCTATTTAACCTACATTGTATCTCTCGCCGAATGGTGAGTCACGAATTTGACCCATCCTGTACATTTGTACAAATATTTTACTTTATCTGTTCCTTTTTTTGTAAATCAGTGTTTTTAATTACGCATCCATTCAATTAAAAACTGTTTTACAATAAATATCAAAATTAGATGTTGTTGAAAAGTAAAATGTTTCTATAAACCTTTTATTTTGAAAATCAGGCCATACCAAAACGTTTGCTCTAGCAGCAACAAAGCTTAAATTTCGGAAATAAAATTCAGAAATCGTGACAGGAAAAGTTTAATTGACAACATCTCTTACAAATCAATTGGCCAAGGTTTGACATCTCTGTCTGTATTCGTTCTCGGGTTAGACGAAGAACAGACGGGCAAAGAGACACAGACAAACGGACGGACAGACGGACAAACACGTCCAGTGTTTGTGCTAACCAATTTGTATTTAAATATATCTTAGACAATGTAGAATTAAATGAACTTTCATTTGATACCATCCCACTCATATCATTTTTATACCATTTACTTTACTAGTATGCTGAATCATAGCGATTGGTCGTTGTTTTTGTGTGATCGCCCGTCTCTCCGCGCAATAACTCGAGAACGAAAGCAAATAATTCAGTTTCCGGCAAAGGGCTAGACTCCGTTAATCAGCTAAATCGGTGATGTGTTGAGGGATGATGTAACGGGAGCCCGTTTTCAGTTTAAATTTTTCGATTTTATATATGGGTATGTACCGCTTCTTTCGGATAGTAGTGATAAACGTTTGGATTTATGTAGAACGCGTGGGTTCTTACCGAGATAGCAGCGAACTTTCCAAATTCTGCGGTTGCCTTTAGCCGAACCGCAGAGTACATAGAAATCGGGGCTCTCGGATGCGCTGAGAAGGCACGTTGACCGCAAGATTTGCGTTGGATCCGTACTCCGTGTCGGTTTTTCTACTCGGTAAGATAAATATGAAAGTAAAAAAGAGAAAGGGGAAAAAAGTTAATGTAATAATGGCAACAGGTTGTGTGAAGATTTTTTAAGAGAGTTAATCTTGACCGACTGTTTAACTGTTGGTTGTGAATGAGCTACACGAAGCACGGCGTTCTAAATAAAAAAATCGATTGAACAACAAAGAAGTGAAACAAATTCAGTTTATTACCGTAAGGGCATTGTTTTGGGAGAGCCGCATACGTGTGATTTTGGTATAGTACAGTAAATTAATTTGGTGTGATCGCACAAACCAAAAAATAAGAAGGTTGTATCCAGACGAAGTAAAACATTCTACTTCTGTATTATGAGCTGCAAGGGCGCCGAAAGTCATGAACTCTTGTCTACGAGTTCATCAACAACGACGCATCTTGACATAAGAAAAGTAGAGGACGTAACAGTTGCAATCTAAGCAGAATGTCGAGCGAATCTACTTTTTTGTGAACCATTGACCTCCTCTGTATTTCACTTACACACATACGAACCCTGGGACATTATCCTTAGACAAATTTCTATAGGGTGACGCAACGTCAGGAGAAGAATATTTGGAAGGTAGCTTAAAACATTTGTTTACTGTATTGTAAATAATTATCTACAATAGCTCGTTTTGTTTCCATTCAATTTTTGAAGAAGGAACTCTTAAGATATTACTTTTTTCATCAACCTTTCAGTCTTCAGAACTCACAGGGCAGTTTTTGGGAAGCATTGTCAGATGCTTTTCACCGCACTACAAAGAACGTAGCACCGGAGAGACTGGGATATGGAATAACCCCCCCCCCCCCCCATCAACGTAAGAGTCGATGACCATTTCCGGGAAATTATATTAAACGCGGTGGGAGTTCAAAACCACTGAGCACAGTAGGACTTTTCCCTATATACTGCAGTAAAACCACCGTGTACGGGGGGGGGGGGGGGTTATTCTATACTCCCCAGGTAACACTTTTTTCAGTGTTTCTAGTGTTCAGAACTCGTGCGACAGTTTTTTTTTTAGAAAAGCACTATCAGATCGTTTGCCCCGCACTGAAGAGAACGTAGTAACGGGAGGTCTGGGGGGTGTGGAATATCCCCCAGCAACTTAAGAGTTAATGGCCATTTTCGTAAAATTATGGTAACACTTTTTTCACCGACCTTTTACTCTTCGGGACTCGCAGGACAATTGTTGGAGAAGCATTATTTATCAAATTCTTTCCTCCACACTGCAAAGGAAATAGCAGCGGAAAATTATGTTTAAGCCACCCAGCACGGACGGACTTCAATCACTTTTCCCTATTCACCCTATTATGTTCTGAAAATGGCAATGGAACTATCGTGTACTCACCCCCCCCCCCCCCCGCCTGCCAACTATTTTCCACAAACCGTTTAGTCTTCAAGAGTAACTTGACAGTTATCGAGGAAGGATTATCAGATGCTTCTCTCCGTACTTTTTTGATTTTGCAGATATAGTAAAATAAATAGCGTATTATACATGTACGAGTATACCGGATGATCCAAAGTAACTGAGGACAGTTTGAATTTCCCGCAAGACTAAACATTTATAATGTTGGTAACATATCAAAGGTCATTTATCAGCTTGATTAGATAATACGTTTTCTTACATCTTCGATAACTTCCACTAACATGGTAGCATATCTTTCGTTGAATTGCAATAAGCACAACCGAGTGGGCTTTAAAATGAAAGCAATAAAAGTCGTCCCCTTTAAAACCTTTAAGCTGAGAAAGTAAGGTTACATGATCCTTATAAAGTATTTTCTTTTAATGTACCTATGTACTGTTTATTTGAAACCATGTTGACCAACAGCTATCAAGTAAAAAACACTAAAAACTTAAAGCGCCAAATTTAAACTGTGCCCAGGTATTCTGGATCACATGGTATAAGAGTCTTTAAAACACTTACAACATTCCTAGGTCTTAAAGGTTGGCAGTAAATTTAGCTCCGAAAAATTCCCTCCAGGAGAATTTGTCCCTGGCATATTTTCTCTCGTCCCAGGTGTAGTTCAATTCGAAGTAAGTAGGTAACTTGTGTGTGACCAATAACTGTAAATACCCTCCAATTCGTATTAATATATGCATCTTTTCTTTATTAGGTTCCTAATAATCAATAGCCACTTAATATTTTTGGTCGCTCCTTCTAGGAATATTCGCTCCCAAAGAAAAAACTGTCCCCGTCTGAATAGCTGTTTCTCCCTTTCACCTCAAAAAGTACGTTACATTTCTCAAGAGCGGGGGCTAATTATCTTAGGGCAAATACCTATTCCAGGAGCACATTTTTAGAGCGAACCTGCTATTCGAAGACGAAATTTTCGAAGTTATACGGTAACGGATATGACATACCTACCAGTTTACAATAAATTGTGGGATCCTTTTCAAGGTAACAATTCTATTAAGAAACCTAATCCAAACAATAACAACAGAAGCACTATTGACAATAAATAATCTCTTAAGCCTTTTTTATGTATTTATTTATTTCTTTGATAAATGACACATTATGACACTGGGGTTTCGTAATGCGTATAAATTAGGGAGTTTTACGAAGCCAATACTACCTAATCATAATTTATATAATAGTTTCGACGTTGTTTGTATTACTATTATTAATGCTGTTGTTATTATATCGCAGTAACAAACAGTAAATACCAAAAATTTGCTATACCATCATGAACTAACTTTTCATGGATTTGTTATAGAAAATGCCGGAGTAAGGGCAGTGACAAGCCATTCTTCTGTTTTAATATCGTGACATTTTCTTTTGATTTATTTATGTAAATCGTATTCTGAGAAAGGAAACTGTTATTAAATTAAATCACTAACCCGCAATGTTGAAAGACATCCAAATGATGTAATTATACCTAAATAGAATCTTTTCCAATATTTTTTAGATTTATTCATTACCCCATACTTTAAGTAAATTGATGTGAATTACCAGATGCAACTATTTTAACAAATTCCATTTTTTTTCAGGCCAAGTTGTTAGAATCGTCTCACGCTTGGCTCGGCGCCTCTACATCGTCAATAGCCGGTAAGTGTTATAACCTCTTTTGCTTTATATCAAAGGGAAGTTAGACCCACAGGATGAAACGTAATTCAATAAATAACCCGAAAAAAACTTCTGGGTGTGTTAACGCCTATATTATATTTCATAATTTACGGTTGGTAGGCAGCGGTTAATTAATATGCTTTCATCTATACGACGTATAATTAAGGCTTATGGAACATTTGAATTAGTTCTGGTTTGTAAAAATTAATTATAATACGAAAGAGCTACTTATCTTATTTATTTATTACCCATTTTATGTACACATATCCGCTACTTGAATATTATACATCGGAGCGAACGATTCGAATATTCTTCAATTTGATACACAGCGAAATAAATAAAATTAAGTCCCCCCTCAATATAATTCGGTTAATATAAAAAAGGGGGATGAAACCGTGAAAATCAATACGCGTATTTATAGTGTAGGTTTAAATTTTATTTCTATACAAAAAAAAAGTTTTTAATCTAATTTAGCCGCGTACAATTCGAGGGGTCCTCGCTATTACGAAATTAAGCGGAGTGGGCGTGATGTCGAAAAAATTGTGTCTTATTGTATTGTGGGAACGGTTATCAAATTTGGGACGTAAGATAGATATAATTCGGTTAACAAAAAAAAATACGCAGGCGCCTATTGTTGCGATTATGTGATAGGTGCACGTTAAATTTTTTATATAAATGCAAATGTTAACAAAAGGCTTTTGTTTAACATTCGGGTAACTTTTTTAACAATGGTTAATTATTCTATCCGTGCAACGCCACGATATATTAATTAAAACAGTATTTATTTGATTTGCCATTTATCGACGTACTCACAGGATAATAAGGGAAAGACTATTTTGCATTTCAAGCACTCTTGGGTTACTTTCAAGAAGATATTGGAATGGTGGGCTTCATGCAATGCAAGTAATATTGATTACAAATGAAGTTGAGTAAACATAACCTTACAAATTGAAAAAGAGTTCAATGAGAAATAAATCCACCCCATTTACACACTAGATGTTATAGTCCACTCACCCTTACGTATAGGTCAATATAGGTTACCACTTTACAAGCGATTTCATTATGAATAATAAGACCCACATAATTTGATGTTTCAGTGCTGAAATCAAATCATTTGTCCGGCCGTCTGTCCTAGGTCCATCAAGTTAGGCCCCCGCAATTAAAAAAAATGTGTAATGACAATTTTATTGTGCTGTTCCAATTTTAATTTGTGCGCTGATCTGGAAAAAAAGTTTTTTTCTATTTCGATGTGGAAACAATACCGAAACCGTACTTGATTGGCCCAGTTTGCGTGCGTTTCTAGACAGAAATGATGCTGAAAGAAATAGAAACGCATTATTTTTTTTATTTTGTTGGATTGGTACCCCTCGCTTTTTTGCTGTCAACGGTATCCGTTAAATCAAAACTAAACATAACCTGTAAAGTGTAAATAACGTACGATGAACTTGACCGATTGTATTAATTCCGATTAATTTTGAATATATACTCCAAAGGGTAGAACTTTTTTATTTTTACTTAGCGTAGTAAAATATGCCAGCAGTACATTCTTGCTTACTTTTTGAACTCCCTTCTCGGCCAGCCAGTTTTCAAAAATTTTGTACTCGTACTTTACTTTCGATTTTACAGGCAGTAAATTTAACGTCGCTTCATTGGCAATCTCTTGGGTCTCTGGTGGGGTACAAGAGACGTGTTTGTCATCCGTATTCATCATAACTGCCGCAAAATGGAATTATGACCAAATAATTAAAAGTTTGAAGTTTGAAAATACAGGAATCAGGTTAACCAACGTGAAAATAAATGAACTGTGTCTATTACCAACATACACTGAATGATAGTTTAAAATTACCTAACAACGCCTAAAGGCAATATTTATAATTTGTATAATTTATTATTTAAAATAAAAGTCGAAATAGAAAAAATAGTATAAAGCACACGTGTCATTTGTCTACTTGTCGCACTCGGCTTTTGCCGCATTCGCCGCTACGCGGCTTATGCGGCAAACTACCTCGTGCGACAATCTTCGTCAAATGACACTTGTACTTTAATATACTATTCTTAAATTGAATCGCAGTGGCCAATTTGACTCTTAGCCCCCCGGTTTTGTTTAGGGTCAAATTTAAAAAAAACAAAAAAAAAACACTTCATCAACAGAACACAGAATCTGAACTAAAATAAAATAAAATTTCCGTTGCAAAAGTGGTGGGATCTTAATAAGAATAGAGGAGCTACCGAGTACCGTAACACCATTTTCGGAGGGCTGAGAGTGAAATTTTTTTATTGCGGGGGCTAACTTGATGGTTCTGTCCGTCGTATATTTTTCGTTTTTTTCATTAGCAGGTACTAAATGAGCAAAGCCTAGCAATATTGCATCCCGTTTGGAGGTATGGTTACAACCTGCCATATTATGAACGCTAAGAAAGGACAACCAAAACCGATATGGTAGTCTCTAGGTATATACAGCCTCACACCTACCATTTGCATCCAAAATTTGCAGGACATTTTTTGGATTTTCATTTTTAATATACAGTGTGCTTATTATGTATGGAATATAGTATATGTATATCTCGGTAAATATCAAATGTATTTCTATATGAAAGTTGTTTAACATTTCATTTCTCATAATAAGGCAGCATTCAGTTGTTTTTATTTCAGAAAACAAAGGAGTAACGAAAAACAATTGAATGTTTTTTAATGGCAGTGCACCTTTTCATTAGGCTTATTTGATAGAGATTTTTTTCTCTTTTCAATGATATAACATGTTACTCTCCATATTCAAGAAAATGTTTCAAAAAAATTTATTATAATTAGATCCAGATATCCTACATCAAAATAAAACAAATGAACGTGTACGTTTCTTACCATGACACTTTATTTCAAATATCAGCCGTGCTTCGTAGTTACATGTCACAGTGAAAATGTCACGTTACACCTGCTCTCTTTATTTTATATGCATAGAATGTAACTTGCAGTTTGTCGACAATTTAATTTGGTTTTTTTTTTTAAATATGAATTTAATTATTTTGTTGTTGTTTAGTTATGTTAAGATTTTGAGTTTTTTGTTGTGTTTCTTTCTTTTTCTTTTTTTTTTCTTATTACATTAAATCATTGCGCGTTAACTATTATGTATTGTCCTGTAATTGGAAGGTCTGTTCTGTTGGGCAATAAATCTCTATTATTATTATTATTATTAAACCTTGAAGACAAAACGAAATTAGCAGTAAAATGGTTTTCATCGCAATGAATGTTCAAAATGTTCATCATTAACTGCAAGACAGTGGCATAATCTATCACAAAAAGCTTATTTCTTCTAACGTGTTACGTCATTGAAAAGAGAAAAAAATGTCTTATCAAATGAGCTTAATGAAAGTGCGCATTGCTATTTAAAAAAATTCAATTGTTTTTCGTTATTCATTTGTTTTCTGAAATAAAAACAATGGAATGCTGCCTTATTATATGGGAAATAAAATGTTAAACAACTTTCATATAGATCAATTTTGTATACAGTCGATATTTAGAGAGAGATATATACTAACGGGCGTTCAAAAATGAGTTGCTGTCGGGTCGCCTTTGGAAGTGCAAGTTAAGTACGATTTCCCATGTAAACAAAAATTCCAAAGGTGACTCGACAGCAAATCATTTTTGATCGCATAGTATCTTCCATACATAATGGGCACCCTTTATAGGGTTCATTTACGAAAAGAAGGTAAATACCTTTCGCAGCTTCTAAACGAAAAGCTCATGGACAGAAAAACAGCTTCATAATTATACTCCTAACATGTTGACCACAAGTTTCCCTGTGAAAGATGGCTGCACCGTTCACTTTGGACCCGTTTTTTTTTTATTTTCTTGAAAGCGAAATGCGGGCAATACTGTGAAATCCCAGAATCATACCATAGGTTTTTTTAATGGAGGTTGAACCAACTTTTTTGTTTTCTTGAAAACGAAAGGTTCACAATACTTGAAAATGGGCGCTCAAATTAGCAAAAGAAAGCCTGAAAATTATAGCCTTCAAGTTCCCTTTGAGAGGGCCGCACCGTGCCTATTTGCTTTTCTTGGAATCGGAAGGCAATAGACGCTGAAATTTAAAAAAAAACAGCTCCATAGGTCTCAAATAAGCAAAAAACAACCTCAAAATTGGAACGTATAGTCTGCCACTCTTTCCGGTCAAGCAGCTGTAGCGTTAGGTCTGGTTCCAATTTTTTTTCTTGAAAATAAAGATACTTGGGCATGGATACTCAAATTAGAAATAAATACAGCTTCAAGACATAGGGTGTGTTCGAGATAATCTCTTTTATTTGGTAAGATACGAAAAATTTGTAAAATATACATATATGACATTACGATCTATTCGATCACATATTGAAACATCCGGTTTAATCGGAACTGAAGGCTCAAAACGAAACAAGTTGATGTAGGTCTTTTCTGTGTAACACAACAGACACCGCGCATCAAAACAGCACACGGCATGCTCCGAGAAAGAGAGCTGGTGTTTAGCGAATTTTTTAAGAATTAGAAAATATCCTATTGTTCGGGTTTGGTCCGTCCGTCCGTCCGTTGCACTTCTGCGGTTTTGAACTACTTTTGGGGTAATTTGTCCTAGAGTCCTGGAATTTTTTGCAATTAGTAGCCTGTACTTTGAACGTGTGCCAGACGGCCATCAAATTTTACTGTATTAAGGTCCCCTTCCCCCATGAATTATTTACTGATATGCTGTTTGTGAAAGTAAACCGTGTATAGCTTTTACATACAACAAACCTTTAGTGGCGGCAAGTTTCATGATATTCTAATTAAAGGTCGCAAAAACTGTTTTCTACCAACTACCGTCGTTCGTTTTTAGACCTTATCAAAATAGGGGTAGGAGGGGGGACTGTTTGTATCCTTCCCTTCATGAATGAAGGGCCTAAACGAAAGGAATTAATTTCTACCAACCATAGTCTCCCTTCTCGGCTCCTTATCGTGATCGGATATCATTCCCTATCTATAATGAGGTGTCAATTTTGAAACTTGGCAAACTAAAGAAGATATTGAAAATCGCGAAAAACCGTTTCGGATATATCAAGGGGAAACCAGAATGTCGTTATGAGTGACAACCTCCCATCCCCTTTAACCCCCCAGCCTAAATGGCAACCCCATACTTGTGACACATCATTGGAAAGCTACTGAAAAATGCTTTCCAGTGGTACCAATAAAGTCAATATTCATTAAGACAATTAAACAAAAAACTAAATGTTGACATTGAGGGATTTTTGGCAAATTGGCCAAGAACTTCAACCTTAGCTGCTTCATTAAGCAATCTTAGTTAAATGACATAGGGGTTCTAGTCAAGTGACTCCTTATTTGCTGTATCTCATCCATTGGATCCACAAGTAAAGAAGCATCAATTGTTTAAATCAACGACGAATCTTTATCTTTACTTTACGTATAAAAAAACAATTTGAAAGTAAAATCCCAAAAAGGCGCAGTAAAACTTTGGAAAGACAAATGTGTTTCGGCAGAAAAACTGTTGTTATCAGTGAACCATCAACTAGTGAGATTGATTCTATAGTTCCTCTACTGCAAATTCACCAGAAAAAGACATTGTCTAAAAAACGCTGGCCTGTATATATAATTTTTTAAATGGAACACCCTGTACATTAAGATGCGAGTGTCTTTCGGGATAGGACCGTATCCATGTTGAACGAAAAGTCACCGTTTCGCCCAGGGGCTTCATCAGGACTAGAAACAATAATAACAATCTAAAATTATATTTTTATTATTTTTTATTTCTTATTTTTTTGAGCGTTTATTTTTTCAAATACTATATACTATAACCCGGAAACGATTGAATATAGGTACATAATGATTCTTACAAATTTTGCTTAAAATTGAGAAAAGAATATCAAATACTGTACAGCGTGTTCTATTTTTAAAAGATGAAATTTTGGTATGTCACGCCTTTCTCACTAACCATGTATAATTAAAATCATTCTCCTTCTCCTTCAGTGAAAATTTCTGGCGGGCATCTCTAAATTTCACTCATGGAAAATTTGGAAAAGAAATTTTTATACTCTGTAAGTTTCTATGATTTGTAAATCCCACATTACTCAAACTCCTGAAGTTACAAAAAATTTAAACTTTGCCCAAGTCTCTAAAAATCGAAAAAATTTAAACTCAACATTTTGAATTCAAAATACTTCCACAGTTGATTTATTTACTGCAATCATTCTGTCTGTCGGTCTATCAGTATACGCAATGTAGAAATCGTGTAGATTTAGGATACCTACCATTTCGTATCGTCCGAAAAAGTAAAATTTGGTTAATTAGAACATCCGCGCAATTTTCTTCGGGAAATTGACCTTCAGCGTTACATAAGGTGGGACGAAAAACAATACAATAATCGCTAACGGACATACGTAGGTTTAAACTGAATTTTACGACCATTGCGAGGAAGTCGACCACAGAAACACGATGTGAGGTCTTAAAAGGAGGAGTTCCACCTTCACTTCTTTCTACCATTTATCCCATTAGGTTATAAATTAATTAATTCTCTAAGTAACCTGTTTGTCTCTTATGCATATGGAAAGTTTGATTCAGTTCTAAATGATCAGATTACCAACTGCTACGAATCTAAGTAGATTTATGTTGTACTCGACTCTCGCTTATTACTTTAATCTTGTAAACTACTTTAAAGTTGCCCAGATTACGTACATTCGGAGGAAAAGCGATTAGAATTTGAGCATTTTAGTAGTTAACTTTAAATGTGTTTGTTCTTTACTAATTATACGAATTTGTCACATCTATTTCACGTTAAATCGGTAATCCTGTCACGAGGAAATTTCGCATTTCAGAACGTTTTAACGAATTTAATTTTGAATGTACGGCGACGCCGACGAGAAAATCGACGCGTCCTACTGGATGGACCTCGGCGGAGTTACAGCGCGCCATTGAGCTGGTGCGTTCTGGTGTGCCCATTAAGCCATCAGCTCAAAGGTGTAACGTGCCGGTTATGACGCTCTGGCGTCGTACACGTGCTTTAGGAATAATTAGTAGTCGTGCCATGACGAGACAATGACGCCTAGCTTTAAACAGAACGCGACGATTTAGGGCTCGTAAAGCGGAGCGTACACTGCGACTGTGCGCGCTCGGCTTTATTCGCCCGCGATTGACAAGTAGTAAGTTTCGTGTGTTTGTGTGTTTCAGTTTTGTAACAGTTGCACCGATTTTGTGCTTTTTAGTTAACTATTCCGATAGCATGGCGTGTATAATTTTGCAAACTTTCGCTTTATTTTTTTAATTCATTTTTAATCCGATTAGTTCCCAATCTCACCATGATGAAAGCGACTTTAGATAACTTTAATTGATGTTACCAATTCTCACCTCCTTTGTGCCTCATCTGTTAATTGTGGGAATGGCACAAATGTCCTCGTGTTGTAGTAATCGCTTGATTTTTATTAATTATCGTATACCTACCATTTTGTTTTTGTTTGTAATTAACTTTGCGTCATTTTATTTTGTTTGGTCAGATTATCCAAGCTTACTAAAGCTTAAAACGCCGACGTGGACGCAGGAACAGCTAAGAGAGGCGATAGAGGCGGTCGTTAAACAGAAAATGCGCTTTACCCAGGCGTCGTCGCGCTACGGCATACCGAAGGGAACGCTTTACGATAACATACTTGGAAAATCTAAACGCATGGCGGTACTCGAGGAAGCAGGTTTGACGGCTCGCGAGGAGGAGGCGGTTTTAGAGTTTTGCTGCGACGTTTCCGTCTCGCCGTACAATCGGCGAACGAAAAAGTCGCTTCAGTCGATCTTGAATTTTGTCGAAAAGCTGCGGCGCTTGCGCGATCCCGAGTTTATGTTTACGGGATTGTCGGGTTTTCGATGGTGGTGGGCGTTTTGTAAGAAACACAGCATTGTCTCACTTTTTTACGACAATGGCGGGTACTAACTTTTCTCAGGTGCTGACTGATTTTCTACAATTAGATGTTAAAACATTCCGTAGACGATTTTTTGATATCAAACGCGCTTCCTCGACTACTGTTTGTTGTAATCAATCCGTTTATTTTTACTTTTTTGTACAATTTATCCTCTATCGATGTTATTAGATTATTAATACTATGTTTGCGTTGATATTTGAATCGTTAATATGCGTATTTTTGTGTGTATTTATAATCGCTAGTTACGTTTACAATTTTGTATTCCTCTATTATAAACTACTTACGCACAACTAGTGGACTGTTTTATTTTGATATTATATAATACCTAAGGTGTTTATTTGCCTCATATCGATTACATTAATATTCCAGTTTGTTTTATTACTATGATAATTACGTGTAGCAATAATTGTTAAAACATTACGTTTAACTCTATTGACATTTGAAATTGTCTAATTAAGTTGATTTTTGTTTTAGTGTAAAATTTGTAGTTTGATTTTGTAAAAAAGATTTACAATAAATGACAGGAAGTACAAACAGGTCCCAAAATTTCGAGACGCAGTTCCTGTTAGATCAAAAATTCCTACCATTCCTCGACTTACCAAGTTATCCCAAAAAGCTTCTTATCTGTTTTCTGAAAATTCATCGCTCTTACATTTTTTTCTGTATTAGAATTGGAGATTAAACTCTATGATCCAATAGTACCAACTAAAAAGATAAGTTCCAGGCTCGATATGTCTGTACTGGCTTCCTAAAGTAATTAATAAAAAAAGACCCTATAGAAAACAAACACGCAGAAATATATACACGTCCGTTGCAGGGAACTTTAGTAATAGTACACCGGATATGCGCCACTTAGTCTTTAGTAAATGTCAAAAGAGAGAGGAGAATACTTACCAAAAGGGGAAACAAGGCAGACTAACACTCCTTGTTCTGATCTGGAGAAGCTAAACGAATAAAGTACTTGATAGGGACAAACATAAACAGTAATGGACGTCACAATTGAGGATAATTTAATCAATGATCTCAAAAATATTACAAATAGGTCACAAAATATTATCAAAATAGGCTTCCACAGAAAGTACCGTTAAGTGAATATCCAAGCAAATGTAATAATTACAATTCGATTGTATCAATAACCAGTATGCAATCAAACGTTAATCAAGGAATCAACGAAATAAAAAAATTACCGACCTCCTGAATTCAAAAAGGCGCGGTCTGCAAATCTGTAACAGATCACAACATAAACAAATAAAAGAGGTAGTGAATCGCACTGCACATAAAATATTGCGAAAAAGCAATGCTAACGTCTGACAAGGCGGCAATCGTATATTAAACTGTAGTTCTGTTCTGTATAAAAGCAGAAACGTGACGCTAAATTTAAGAAAAATACTTTACCGTACACAAATAGCTAAATTTCTATTGGTTCAATGAATTTAAAACAAAACAAAACAAAAACAAGTAAATTAACTAAAAAAAATCGTCGAAATTGGTCTCGGACCAAGTGTCGGTAACTTCAAACACTGATATTCAAAGCAACGGTGAATGTGAAGAATACAATCTATGAATCTAATAATCAAACTAACAGAAATGAATCTTCGTAGTCACAAAGTAATCATAGACAAGATCGGTCTCGGTATCGGTTAAATCAAATAAAAAAACATACGCAATGAGAGAAAATGCTCGTTTAAATGCAACTACAAATCCGTAAAACCGATTCAATGGAACCACTACAGACATCTGGAGAAAGAGAAACCACTCCAAAAGTAAATGGTAAAAGTCAAAACACTAGTCCCTTAAGCAGGTAGACACGAAGTCAGTGAGGTAATGGCGTACCAAAAGACATTTGCATTTAATCAATGCGAAAGATAGCTAGAGTAAGATAAACTTAAAGAAAGAATAGCTAGAAATACCACGGAAAACATCTGCCCGACCTCCGTCGGTAAAACAAAGAACTAGGTGAAAGAAACCTATAACGCGAAAATAAAGAATTAAAATCAAAACTGTGCACTTAAACCACGTAGTGGCCCGGAACCGAATGCCTTAAAATTTGCTTACATTTTAATCCCTCCGATTCTTTATTAGATAATTAACGCATTTTCCAACATCACGGCTAATAATTAAGTCAACATTTTTTTCTTTAAAACCCAATCACTCCCCGAGTGCGAGAAAAACTAGGCTTTGCTTAAGAATAACCCACACGCAAGAATTCTGATGAATTGTACTTCTATAATACAGACTGGTGATCTCAGCTGGGTAATTTTTAGGTCGGCTTTTGTAATAAAAACCCTACTAAGATAAGATTACCCTCCTATATCTCCGATTCACTGAAGGCTGGATTTTCCGAAAGCCATTAAGAGGACAACGCCCTATGGAAGTCAAATGACGCAGAAAGGCGACCAACAATTCCACCAATTACTTACGGATTTTTACAATTCCCCCAAGCCTTACAATTTATTTTTTCGAAGCAAAAGAGTTTCATTCCACAGGATTAGCAAAAGAACGTGTTAATGAAAAGGTCAATTCAATAATTTCGACAATTTCAAAGTAAACAAAAAAAAGCTTGATACTTCCCAGCCCAAAACTCGAACCTCTAACCGAAAAAAAGATATTGGTCCATATGAATAAAAGGGAGCATATTCTTATACTTGCAAAATTCAAAGTAAATACTCGTAAATGCCCCTTCACACTGGGCAGCCCAGCAGCGCTGTTAAGTCGCTCAGTGTGAAGGGACACTTACGAGTATTTCCTTTGAATTTTGCTACGCTATGCTAGCAATGCTAGCAATGCTGTCTTTTTTTGAGTGGAGAATTTTTGTGATTACAGCGCCACCTGTGACCACGATAAAAATGTTTCGAATAGAATCTTGTGTTGAAAATTGATGCTGGCCGAAGAAAGCACGTTACCTCGATGACTTACGGCAATACCAAATGGTCCAATTATTATTTTAATTGGCACACATTAAATAAATACGAACAATTCAACAAATAAAAACGCACAAAAGTGTAAAATGATAACTGTCATTCTAATTGCACTCTGACAATTGATTTCGCGTCATATATCTCTAGATTTTCACTACAAATCTTGATACTTTTTTGAGTAGAATCACAGCCGTCTATAATTACAAGCCATGCTGAGAAGTTTGGCAACGTTGTTCGAAAGTCAATCGGTGGGCCGATGTAAGTTTTAATGGCGTCTTGTTGCTCTTGAAAAATGGCATTTTCCTCTCCCCTGTGTTTCGCCTTGGCGGTTTTAATATAGAGGAAAGATACTTAGGCCGCTTACAATTGTACATATATTTCTTTTATTTACAAAAATGGATAATAACATTTCTATTTGACTTTAAAATTCGGAACGCTGTAAATTGGTAACTGCATCATAATGTGTTTTCCATCGAGATCTCTGAAATTGGTGAACTTCTGTCTAAAGAGGTCGAGGTGAAGCACACGCTTGAGCACTTAATTTCGGTAAAAGGACAGTAAATCGCTGCGCATCAGCGAGGTTATATCAACGACCAGGGTGTGATTGAGAATGGCAGACTTTAAGCCAGTCGCTACTCCAGTGGGTCTAGGTACGAAGCTTTTAAAGAGGGGAACCCCATAGACTTCAAATTCCCGTACCATGAACTCTTGGGAATAAGTTGAAAGGTTCCTTCAGGAAATCGATTTGACATGTCCGTGCTAGAATACCTGAAATACAAACTAATTGTATTTTTTCACGATAAACACTTACCGTACTTACGTACCAGGTAGTGCGTAGGTCATATTTGAGCTTCTTACAGGTACTTTGAACAAATAAAAGTGCTTGTAAAGGGTCCAGTAAGGAGTAGCCTGCTTTAGAGGTTATGACAACGAATCGATATATTTCGTTTAGCAACTTACCTGAATAATAATTTCTGTTCATTCCGTAGGGAGTAACACAAATTGTCGCAATCTCGCTCTGTTAAAACGGGTAAATAGGAATATTACACCCAAAACACATATAAAATACACTCAAAATCTGTCAAGTTGAATTAGGAAATCGGCCTACCATGCAGTGTTGCCATAATTTTCAGCACGGCTTGTAATTATAGACGGCTGTGGTAGAATCAATGATATGGAATAAAAAATGTGGGTTCCCATTTCAAATTACAACGATGCCCCCCTTCTCCCATCCAAAAGTGGGGATTCAATTTTCGGGTCATTCGGAGAACAACAATATGGTAAGATCCCTGGGCTATTTGTTAAAAATGTTTACGCCCCTGAGTGATTAAACGGGTGGACGGGTGGTCTGAACTACCTTCTTCTACATGCTAACATTTTTTTAAGGATGGATTACACAATTTTCTTAAAAACTTCTTTTTTTGTTGATGTCGCACTCTGCTATTTCTCGTACCGATATCCTTACATTTACATTATGAACGCTGGGTTTCCGTTGCCATAGAGTATAGGTATCCGTCAATATCGAGCATACGAAATCGCGGAGGAAAATCTAGTAGGTACATGGAGAGACTAGTCAAGACACGCATTACGTACCTATACTTTAACGATTATTCATTACGTTAAAGGAAGATGTATTTTAAACCCTAAGCCGTGACCGTTACCGTTACTTAATGTTTAACCAATAAAGGTACTTTTCACTTTTCGTTAGACAGATAAGAAGCCTTTTGGCTCCGCTCACTTTTTGGTCGTCCCATCACTCGTAAAGCAGTAGGTAGAACAAAAGTCTACTTAAACCAGAGCAATTGGATTAATAATTAAATAAAATAAAGTAAGTATAATTGGTATCTAATTGATACTAAAATCGGTGCTTTAAAGACTGGTAGTTAAAGTCCGGCGACATTAATTTACAATCATGGACATTTTTAACTATTTAGAATGGATGAAGTAATTATTTTTAATCTCTTATGTTTCAGATTACTCAACAATTTGGTAATTTTTTTTAACTTTTTTTCTCTTTGTTTTATGTCTTACTACTTTCAGTTGCATGAAACGTTTAAAGGTTGTTAAAATAATTGTTCAATTAATTTTTAATTACGGCCACAATTACACTGCGCTATTAAAAGTTTCCTGCAGCTCGATAATTTCCTAGTTATAATTAATATATTAAATTGATTTTTCTCGATGGGGTATACTAACACTGACTTTTTTCTGTCCTAGCAGATAGTTACCAGTACCAACTGCAGTCCATGTGGCAGAAGTGTTGGAGTACCAATCAAAGTCTTGTACATAATCTTCGATTTCGGGAGAGGGGGCCGCTGAAGTCGTGGCGACCCGAGACGATGGCGGAGGCAATTTTTTCCGTTCTCAAAGAGGGACTGTCACTGTCGCAGGCTGCCCGGAAGTACGATATTCCATATCCCACGTTCGTTCTTTACGCCAATCGAGTGCACAATATGTTAGGACCTTCGGCTGATGGTGGATCAGGTTAGTATCATCCTTTTTCTTTTAAATACTGTTTTTTGGAATTTTCCAAAATTCAATTTCAATGCAAGAAACTGTTTCGTTACTTTACACTATTTTAACCTCGAGACAAACAAAATCACTCAGTCGTAGAAACCACTTCCGAAACCCAGTAGGTATAGAAAACCTTGGCCTTAGAACAATGTATAATTTTTTGATAAATTCAAAACACAAAATATAGGGAAAAAATATAAATATACTTACAATTCAGTCGGTGCTGGGCGACCATTACAATGCACGGGGGGGAATAAGGAGATCAAGGGGTGACAATAAGGAAGGGTTGAATTCGTCCAGCACTACCGAGTTTACAAAAAAAAACAGGAAAAAAATGGATTGATTTTCAAACTTGGAAAAGTATATTGCTTCAAAACAAACACGATTCGATGCAGCTTTTCGAATGTGGGAAATTTTTCTCTTTTGCCCCCACTCATCGCATTCAAATTGCATTAACATTAATAAAGCCACACTTACTCCATCTCGTTTATATCTTATATATTATAAAATATAATAATACGGCGTTAACATTCCCCCCGGGATGAAGTACGGTTTCGAACTTCAGGATGACAAAGAGAACACAAAAAATAATTGTTATTTTTCTATCTACCAATATTTAACTAACAACCTGAACAAAAAATAATTGTTGCTATTTATTTAACAACGTTTAATTAACAAATCAAATTCTAAGAGAAAGATCAACTAAAAGTAATTTTATTAAAAAAAAAACTGACAAAGATTTATTGCGTGGGTAAAGGACATACCTTAATTACTGGCCGGCGGTAAATACCAGTTTTGGTTCGAACATCGAGAACTCTGACCACTTGGTCAGTTCCTGGGTAAGTTTTTTCTATAATGCCTAAAGGCCAAGATAATGGAGGAACATTTGGCTGATTTAATAGGACAACAGTCCCTATTTCAATAGGATTCGTTTCAGTATTCCAGCGATATCGAGTTTGCATTTCAGTAAGGCATTCTAAACGCCACCTCTTCCAAAAGTCTTGTATCATACGATCAAGTAATTGAAATCTGTTTAAGCGATTAATATTATGATTAGTATAATCGACGGTGGGGAAGTGGTTTATCGGGCCCATGGTTAAGAAATGAGCAGGCGTCAAACAGAGTGGATCAGCAGGATCTGAACTTAGCACACAGAGAGGCCGTGAATTTAGTACGCACTCAATTTGTATTAATAAAGTATTAAACTCTTCGTAAGTTAATAATTGGTCGCGTAAGATTTTGTATAGATGACTTTTGACAGATCGCACGCCCGCTTCCCACAACCCTCCCATGTGAGGAGCTCCAGGAGCTATTAGTTTCCATTGTATTCCACGGTTAGCTAATTCATTTCCTATGGATTTGTTATATTCAGGAGAATATATGACTTTATACAATTCATCTAAGGATGTCCTTGCACCAATGAAATTGGTACCGTTGTCGGAGTTAATTTCTGAAACTACTCCTCGCCTACTAATAAATCGCTTGAAGGCTTGCAAAAAGTTTTCCGTGGATAAGCTACTAACTAATTCTAAATGGACCGCTTTAGTCGTCAGACATACAAACAAGCAAATATAGGCTTTGATTGAACGCACTCCTCGTTTCCGATATGGAATAATCGATACAGGGCCCGCGTAATCACAACCAGTCTGGAAAAAGGCTTTAGGGGATTGCATTCGGCTTATTGGTAGGTTTCCCATAACCGGAAATTGTGGTTTGGGTTTCATCCGAAAGCAAATGTTACATTTCTGCACTCTAAATCTTATAACGCTACGTGCTGCGAGTATCCAATACCGTTGCCTAATCAAGGTTAAAACTAAATGTGGTCCTGTATGTAGGTTGGATCTGTGATAGTGATCGATAAGTAAATCTACGAATCGGTCTTTCTTCGGTAATAAAATAGGATGTTTTACATCAAAAGAACAGTCGGCGTTACGAAGCCTACCACCTACTCTAATAATATTTCCATCTAAAAAAGGGGTAAGGTATCTAAAAGATTTGGGTTGAATTCCTTTTTTTAGTAAAGAAAGTTCAACTGAAAAATACTTACATTGAATCAAACGAATAAGTCTCATCTTCGCAGTCATTAAGTCGGAGGCGGAAATGATGACATTGTAGGGTAACCGTCTAAGAAATCTAAGCACATAAACAACACTACGCACTAATTTGATCCATTTGGAACAACGCTCTATTAAGGAAAAAAATGGATTTTCTTCTTTTGCAGGAATCAGTAAGGCGATAGTTTCCTCCGATTCCTTATCTTCAGTGCGCACAATTCGAATTGGCCATTCCAAAAAGTCTAATCTCATCCAATCAGGACCGTTTTTCCAAGAAACGTGGCTGATAAATTGCAAGGGAGTTAGACCTCTAGATAAGCAATCGCTTATATTGTTTTTACCATCAATGTGATACCAAGATAAAGGATCGATTAAGGAGTTAATTTGAGTCACCCGATTTGCAACAAACATGGGCAATTTGGTTGGGCATGTAGCGATCCAGTTGAGAGTAACTGTAGAATCTGAGAAAGCATACACTTTGGCAATGTTCAAACGAGATTGATAACAATTGATTACAAAATGCAGGAGTCTGGCGAGTAAATGAGCCGCACAAAGTTCCAGCCGTGGAATAGTGACTAGTTTTATGGGCGAGACCTTTGTTTTCGCACAAAGAAGGTGAATTTGATTTTTATTAGCAATACTTTGCAAGTACACCACCGCACCATAGGATGTTAGACATGCATCTGCGAATCCTACCAATGCTACGCTCTGATTGTTCGTAACTCCAATATGCCGAGGTACTTCAAATTCTAAAAGATGAGAAAGTTGGGTGTTAATTAGCTGCCATCTTTGTGCTATACTGTTAGGGCATGGTTCGTCCCAATCTAGTTGGAGCACCCAACATTCTTTGATTAAGAGTTTCAAGTTCAAAATCACAGGAGCCAGAAATCCTAAAGGGTCATAGCACCGTGCAACGGTGGAGAGTATAGTGCGTTTGGTGCAAGGTCTATTGGTAATGTCGAAAGAGAATGACAAGAAATCAGTCTTGGGATTCCACTGCAAACCTAAAACTTTAAAGTTGGAGCTGTCAAAATCAATAGGATTAGTAATGCAATCATCTTCAGGGATGTTTTCTATTAGTGTTGGAGAATTTGTTGCCCATTTCACTAACTGAAAACCACCTCTACCAAATAATTCCTTTAATTGCGAATAGGCGGTCATGGCTAAACTCGTGGTTGGAATGCTGGTGACGAGGTCATCAACATACATATCTCTTTTCACTATTTCAGCAGCTATGGGGAAAGTTGACTCTTCATCCTCTGCTAGTTGACGAACAATCCTAAGGGCTAAAAAAGGGGACGCTCTGACACCAAACGATACTGTGTTTAGTTGATAGGTTTCTATTGATTCTTGGCTCGAAAATCTCCAAAGTATTTTTTGATATTTGCGATCGTTCTCGCAAAGGTTAATTTGCCTATACATTTGGCGAATGTCCGCGGAAAGAGCTATTGCAAATAGTCTAAAATTCAACAACATCGTACAAACATCCGCTTGTAGCTTAGGACCGACAAATAAAAGGTCGTTTAAAGAATAAAGAGAGGTAGTTTTGCACGAAGCATCGAAAACAATTCGAACCGGAGTAGTACTAGAATTAGGTTTAAAGATTGCGTGATGAGGAATAAAATAATGCGGTTCCGAGCAAATGTGGTTCGTAACCTTTGACATATGACCTTGGGCTAGGTAGTCTCGAATAATATTTGCATAATGTATTTTAAGATCTCCATCTCTATCTAGTTTTTGTTCTAAGGCCAAAAATCTACGAAGTGCTACCGCATAGGAATCCCCTAACAAAGAACTATTGAGTTGAAAAGGCAAGGCCACGGTATATCTTCCATCACTTCCTCTTTTGTAAGTAGATCGAAAATGGTGTTCACACTTGACGTCCTCCGGACTTACTAAATTTAAAGAGGGCACATCCTCTACTTCCCAAAATCGTTGTACCAGTGTCTCCAACGGAGGTTCCAAAGCGATAAAGAAACTATGTGTGCAAGGAGATATGGTGGGTGCAACTCCCATTAAAACAAATCCAAGCTGAGTCTCTATAGCTAAGGGTGTATTGGGAGGGCCTGAAATCCGCTCTCGGCCCAACAATTGTGCAAATAAACTGGCTCCAATTATTCCATCTACCTTTCGAGGAATATGAAATTCAGTATCAGCTAAGGGAATTGAAACTAAGTAATTAAAACGACTTATATCGACGGAAATTGGAGGCATTTGATTGGTAATTTGATCTACTACTAATACATCTAAACAATATCTTTTATGCGTATTAATTTTGGAAATTATAACTGCGCTCGCACTTCCGTGTACTCTGCTACTAGTCGAACCAATTCCAAGAACTGTAGTGTCACATTTGGCAAGGGGTAATTTCAAGCGACGACTAAAGTCTAAAGAGAGAAAGTTAGCGTGACTTCCACTGTCTAATAAAAAACGAGCTTCATGAGTATTGTCGAACACGTCCAAAACATCGACCTTTGCTGTGGAGAGTAGGACTGTATTATTAGAGCCATTAGTATTTGACGTAATTGTGCAACAATTGATTGAGGAAGAATTCGACTCACCATGAGCGTTATCTGGACTGCTACTACTATTCCTATTTGAAGTTGAAGAGCTGTTATCAATAGGGGTGCCTGAAGTGGAACGGTCTGATTTACTACGAGAGTTAGTTTTGAAATGTAACAAGGTGTGATGCTTAAGATGACAACTTCTACAAGTATAATTACTTTGACAATTCATTATTTTATGAGACCCTAAGCAGTTTAAACATAAACTGTTTGCGCGCACGATTTGGTACCGTTCTTCAGGCGTAATCTCCAAAAACTGCGGGCAAGCGGAAATGTAATGAGTACCTTTACAACATGCACATTTAGCCGGTGTAGGCTTCTGCGCAAGAAACACATGGGTAGATTTTGATTTGCTATTACTGTTACTACTTTGAACGGGATAACCTTTTGAACTACTACTACTACTTGCCAATTTATTTACTACGGTGCTAGTGCGTGCACAAATTTTGGCTTGTTCTTTTATGAAAGTAATGATGTCCTTATAGGAAGGCATATCCGTTTTTCTCCTAGTGTTTTCGAATAGACGTTGAGTCTCGGGATTTAGTTTTTGAAAAGCTAAGTATGCTAAAATGTAGTCGGCTAAATCTGGTATATCTAATTTTCGCAAAGCTGTAACGGCAGGATCGAATTTATCTACGAACGCGTTTAACGTATGAACATTTTCAGTAGGACTTTGTTTAAACATAAACAATTGTTCTAATAAGGAATTAGCTATGGCACGTTTGTCCTCATATTTGTCAACAAGCGCAGCAAGAATGATTCTGTAATTGTCTCCTGTAGGAGCTATTCCAGAACATACCGATAGTGCAGTATCACTTAAACAGCCGAGTAAATAATGCGCCCGATTAACGTCGTTTAATTCAGGGTTGTTGTGAATTAGGCTATTGAAGCATTCAATAAATAAAGGCCACTCTTTTAAATCTCCACTGAATTTTGGGAGTGGAATATCGGGTAGTTTGCGAATTCTGTTAGTCCGCTCTTCACTTCTTGTAGAGGGGGCACTACTAGTAGAACTACTATGAATTTTAATCTTTTGAGCAACATGTTCAATGTAACATACTATTTCCTCAATCGTCTCAATGATTTTAAAACTTGGAACAAAGTGTTCGTCTAATTCGCACTCTAATAAGTTTATATCTTCTATTGTTTCTAACAATTTAACTTTGGTTGCCTCGTAATTAGTGTACCTCATCTTAAAATAACTCAATTTCTCTGGGGTTGAAACATCCCTACTAAAATCATATACCCGTTGAATGTTAGCAAAATATTGTTCTTTTTTTGCCTTTAAAATCTTAAGACGATGTTCCGCTTTTTTGTCCATCGTTCAGAACCGCTAAATATCGCGCTAAATTGACAATAATGGAATATGTGTGGCGGTTTTATCAAAGTTTTGATATCTACAACTTGAATTCTATACTATAAAAGCGCTTATCAACCTGCACCGAAACGTGTTATCTATAACTCTACTATTTATGTACTATAACAAACGTGCAAATCCGGCTTGATTTGGACCAATGTATAATTTTTTGATAAATTCAAAACACAAAATATATGGAAAAAATATAAATATACTTACAATTCAGTCGGTGCTGGGCGACCACTACAATGCACGGGGGGGAATAAGGAGATCAAGGGGTGACAATAAGGAAGGGTTGAATTCGTCCAGCACTACCGAGTTTACAAAAAAAAACAAGAAAAAAATGGATTGATTTTCAAACTTGGAAAAGTATATTGCTTCAAAACAAACACGATTCGATGCAGCCTTTTGAATGTGGGAAATTTTTCTCTTTTGCCCCCACTCATCGCATTCAAATTGCATTAACATTAATAAAGCCACACTTACTCCATCTAGTTTATATATTATATATTATAAAATATAATAATACGGCGTTAACATGACTAAAGAAATGTTATTCATAAAATATGGACCGTTTTCGAGTTTTAAGCGAAAAACTGAAAAAAGTCCTAACATTTTGAGGTTTTTTGGCTGCCAAAAGTTGTGCCGGGAAAAAATTGGTGTGGACTCTTCAAATCCATCATGTTATTTGGCCCCAAATGGACCATTTAAAGTAATAAAATCTGTTACACCACCTTTTGCAGGTCAAAATTAGCTGCATACTGGACTACATGTAGGTAAAGTGTAAATAAACATTAGTAGAACAATATATACCTAAATGCTACGTACTAAACAGACTAATAATTAAAATGCATAAAGAGAGGACAATCCAGGTCTTGTTATCGGAAGAATGATAAAATTAGTACATCGCCATGAGTATTTAAATTTCTTTTTATTCGTACTGTCAGGCAAACAGGCAAAAATCACATAATCCTTATTTTTAGCGCATTTTTGAAAAAAATACGCTATTATATTCGTTATTGCTGGCAGGCCGGCTGTCCGCGTTAGATCTCCACAACTACAATAGCTAGAGACCTCAAATTTTCACTAAAAGCTTCCTGCTATAGTGTAGATGTGCAGGCACGGGTCTATTTTGAGTTAGATTATTTGTGAGATCGATAATTGAAGGAAATAATTTCGATATGGGTTTCGGAGGTGCTATAATTTTACCGTTAGATAGCGCTACCAGTATAAAAACTTATTATTTACTTTGTGATTTGTTTTACAAAATGAAGACGTACCGTCAATTGAAATTAAATAAAATTAATTATTTAACGCAGCCAAAATTACTCCCGAGATCGATAATTTTAAACTTCGCTAATAAAATACTGACCTGCATTACCAAAAATGCGCTTTAATCATGCATATGCTGATTTACAACTTGTTTTATGTACTGTTGAGTTGAAGCTATGAATATTTGTACTACAGATGTATTCATAATTCAAGACGGAAATCTAAGAGGACCTTTGTACGTAAGTTTCAGTGACGGCCAGTTTATGAATGCGAGATTTTCAATTTGATAGCACAATAGTCACTATATAGTACCTACTTACTCACTGTTCCTTTTTTAGTAGGCATAATCAAACCCGTAGGATCAGGATATGTGATTGATGAAGATCGTAGAATTAAGAACGCTGACAGAGAGAAACAAAAAAATGTGGTAAACTTTGACGTAAAATTTGGGAAAATAATTCCAATGATATGACGTACAATCTCGCGTACAATGCACCAAATTCGTATATATAGCAAACACAAGCCCAGACTTCTGAGTTGTGTTTCCATTATACTGAGCTTCACTAATAAGCCGAATATTAATTTGCCGAGGGGCTGAGATTAGTAGGAAAATTGTCATAAGATTAAGGAAATAAAGCGACCCTGACCGATTGCGTGAAACTTCATGCATAGCAAGTGATTTAGAACGATTATACCGAGAATTTAGCGAGGATGTGAGGATTTCCATTTCGGGGTTTAGTGTATTAAAACCGATCTAACAGACAAAAGTAGTACTGGAACACTACGTGAGAGTGTCGTGTAGTATATCTGCGGCCAATCTGCTGTTTTCCGGCACCTTACTATCAGGCACCATTCGGATTCTGGACGATATTATTAGAGGAATCTGGACCATCTTAGATTTGGGATTAATCGATGTTTAATGCAATTAAAAGAATTGTTTCTGAGCGGAAATATGAAGCACTTGACTATACAAAATCAACACACAGTACTTGACAAGGGCGCAGATTTTCGGAAACTTCTTAAAATTAAATGGTCAATTATTTGACGATAATTGCGAAGGCGTTTGGGAATTTAAAAGTTATTGCCTCATAAATCCTTCCGAGCACTTAAAATCTGTATTGATTGGGAAGACGGAAAGGAAGACGCCATACGCAAACAATCGCTTAATTGGATTGTACTTACAGACATATTTTTGCGTTTGGTTATTAGTTATTTCTAAATAGCATTCGATATCGGCAGGCATAATTAATTTCAGTTCAGTTTGTTTGCTACGTTAAATGTGTTTGTACTTACTGTAGGGATCGATTTTGTCTCCAGAGAAGGGTTGTCTCTAGATTATCTACATAGAAAATCGTTCCTGTTTCAGGGAAGCATTAATTATATAATGTATGCGAAATGTATTTGCTGCATTTCCAGTATGTTATTTGTGGGCCTAATCATAAAGTATGTAAAACTATTTGAAACTCTCTACACTTTACCACGAAATATTAGTCAATCAATTAGAAATGGAAGTTTGCAGTTGGTTGGGTGGGGTTATTAATTTATATGTCTATTGTCTTAATTGTCTGCATAATTGAAAAATTTGTACTTGTCACCTATTCCAAATGATTTTTTAAATTATTTTAGCATAGATTGTGTCTCGGATTGTGTCATTGTAACGTCTATTATCATGATTTATACTTTTATACCATTTGGCACATCATAAAAATAGTGTGGTTAAATGTTTGATGGTATTAATTTTATACCCATAATTTCCCATATTCCACACATAGATGCAGGGTCAGGAGATCCGACTGGCAAATCGTAAGAGCTGGAAAAGTGGATTTCCGAAATCACGAATAATAATATTTTCTTTGCTTAAGATACATCTCCAATTAATTAGATTATTCGAAACTAAGGAAAAAAAGGGGTCTTACCACATCGATAACATATTGCTGGGCGTTCAAATTGCCTCGAATGAATACCATACGAAACCCCTTTCCGTAGGCCATAGCACCAATTAAGTAAGAAACATAATATTCATCTGCACGGAAGTGTAGAAGTAGCAGAAAACCGCATCGTATATTGGGCATATTCTAGAAAAGAACAATAAAATACCAGAACATTTTGAAGGCTAAACTGCATAAATATTATCGTATGTTATTTTTTACGTGACGCTATGATAACAAATACATAATTAAATGATAAGAAAGCTAATTTAACAAGGGAAATGGTATCATTTTTGCGGTTGGCATCCTTCCGTTGATGCAGTGTAGCAACTGTACCGATATGCTAGGACACTCCTATCCTTATCGTTATCAATGAACCACGACCACGACCATTTTTGTAAAATTTGCACCTTTTTCATATTTTCTGCAAGTAAAAGTGTATCGTATTAGTGATAACCTCAACTTCCACGTGCTGTTGTTTTTATGCTGTTCATAAGCTTGTTTTGCAATTTTTTCTGGGAGTTGATGAAAAGGAAGACAAGGTGGCTAGACAATCTCTTTTCATCCATGGCCCCAAGGGTTCCAGTTCCTCCGTCATGATTTGTCCTCATTTCATTGATTTACCACGTGTGGTGTTGTGGAATTTGTTATATAGGTAACAAATATACTGTAACATAACCATTCTAGTTTCATGCATTCGGTTTAAAGCGCATCAGTCGCGGTATTTAATTATTAATCGATCTTCGTTAAATCCACTCAGAGAATGCGCGTCTGGTTCTTTGATTATTATAGAATTTATATACTTACTGGAAGATCTGCCGTAATAAGAGAAGCGACAATCTTGGAAGTCGTCCGTCATGTGATGCAACTTAATTTCCAAGATAAATGAGGTGTACGCGAATTAAATTAAAGTAATAATAAACTCTTGCTAATGGTTGTGTAAGATTTATCGTTGTTATTGGTTAAAGCAATAAATATAAATAAAACTAGACGTTTATTTGAAGTTCAGGCGTCATAACATAATAGATACAGTTATATCGTTGAGATGAAGGGATGCTATAGTCTTCATAGCCTTTATAGCGTCCCATTGTGCGCTTCAGCTCCCCCTTCTTCACAAGGAGTGCTCTCCTAGTCACTCTTGCTACCACGGCGAAGGAACGTCAGTAATCGCAGGTAGCCGCCCACTGCAAAACCTGTCACCGTGAGGTGTACCAAATTATGCTATTGTATTTTCAGCTCTATGTAGCCCATTCGAAGAAAAAGACTTGCGACTGTTTTTATACTAGACGACGTCTACCTCTCTATATCGTTCCATTAGACTAGTGACTGTGATTAGACAAGTGACTGTGATTAGACAACTAGTCTCACGAGTCAACACTAGTATATTATGAATGATCTGCGCAATAACCGATTGGGAGCAAATAAGCAAAACACGAGACAACACACGTACATTTGGTGGAGCCGCATTCCAAACATTTGTTGTCGATATTGTTTTTCTTTGTTGTACCGCCTTCAGAGAGAAACAGTAGCAAACATTTTAAATTTGTGCTTTGGTGGAGTTTCGCCTTAACGGTTCACACAGGAAGATTTTCGAAATTACAATCACCAAAGAAGCGAAGTGGTGGTACCCCGTTTCTGCTGTGGTGTGAGTACATAAACGATTGTGTTTTGTAGTTTGAACTTGATACACGAGTTTTCTTTTTATCCACCCTACGCGTTAGAGTTGATTAAATAAGAAGTATTTCGATCAAGGGTCTTTTCCTT